CTATTTGGAAGCCAGCCGGGACCTTTGCGAGACGGACTCAATTCTCTTTGGCGCCGCAGTGGCAGTTTGCCGTATTATTGGCGCCAAACTTCCCATGGCTGGACGCGCTACTACACAAAGTAGCGCCATCCCAGCCTGGAGAAAAAGAATCGAGGACCGTGTCGCAAAGGCAAGGGCCCTTATCGGCAGACTGACAAGCTTCAGGTCGGGTAATAATAGACCGAGGATTGTGCGCACCGTTCGGATGGCGTTTGCTGGGACAAATATCAGTTTGTCCCAGCCGGATATCACGCAGAAACTAACGGAGCGCATAGACGACCTGAAGCAAAAGATCGCTGCTTGGGGGAAGCGGATTCGACGATTTGCCGAGAGGTCAAGGCGGTTCAACCAGAATCGTCTCTTCCAAAGTGATCAGAAGAGGCTCTATAAATCATTGGAGCGACCAAAGTTATGTGGAGCGGGCCAAGGACCGGATCAGGCTGACATTATCGCACTCTGGCGTGGCCTGTGGTCAGAGCCCGTAAACCACAGCGAGGGCCCTTGGATGGAAGTTGTGGCGAGCCAGGGTGCGACTGTTACGCCTATGGACCCCACCACCATAACGCCGGAAGACGTGGCTGAGGCGGTCCGTAGTGCCTCGAACTGGAAAAGTCCGGGGCTCGACGGGCTGCATCATTACTGGCTGAAGGGGTTCATAGTGTGTCACGCTGTGCTCGCCCGACAGTTTTAAGAGGCTCTCGACCAGAAGTCGCTCCCGAGCCTCTTCACTACTGGGATCACTCACTTGGTTCCTAAAGATCAGGATACCACAGACCCGAGCAAATACCGCCCCATCACGTGTCTACCCACCATATATAAGACACTGACATCCATTTTGAGCGCGAGAATCACTCGTCACCTGGAGCTAAACCAGGTGATGTCACGCGCTCAAAATGGATGTCGGGGCGATGATTGTGGAATCAAGGAACCACTCCTCATTGACGCGGTCATAGGCAAAGTGGTGAAACGCAACCGTCGGAACTTCTCTGCCGCCTGGATAGACTTCAGAAAGGTGTTCGACTCGGTGCCCCATACATGGCTAAAGAGGGTCCTTGAGCTGTACAGGATTGACTGTACAGTTAGAGACTTCGTCGAGCAGTGTATGGGGCAGTGGAGTACGATCCTTTGTCATCTGGGCGAGCGGATGATGGCTGCGGAGAACCACATAAGGATAAGAAGGGGTATCTTCCAGGGCGATTGTCTGAGTCCAATCTGGTTCTGCCTCTCTCTGAACCCTCTCAGTACCTTACTGGAGGGCTCCGGGAGGGGATTTCAGCTACGGAAAAGAGGGACAAAAATGACCCACCTTTTCTATATGGATGACCTCAAGTTATTCGCCTCCAGTCGCTCCCATCTTATGGAACTGCTAAACATCACTTGTGAATTTAGCAGTTCCATTGGAATGGAGCTGGGAACGGATAGGTGTGCGGTCCTCCATGTTGAAAGGGGAAGGGTTGCTAACTCTGAGGGCATAGACTTGTCTATGCCCGTCAACTTAAGGACCCTTTCCGAGGCTGAAATATACCGATACCTTGGTATGTCACAGAACATCGGTATCGATGAGGCTGGTATGAAACAGTCAGTTTGCGACGTGTTTTATGCACGCTTGACCAAAGTGCTTAACAGCCTTTTGTCCGGTGTGAATAAGTCACACGCATATAACTGCTGGGTCATGCCTGTCCTCATGTATACCTTTGGCATACTCAGGTGGACTCAGACTGAGCTTAACGCCCTGGATAGAAAAGTCCGCACTACCATGACGTCCCATAGGATGCATCATCCGAGATCGTCGGTAATGAGGCTGTACTTGCCGCGAAAGCATGGTGGGCGTGGCTTTCTGAGCGCGCTCACCATGCATAATCGCGAAGTGTGCAGTCTCCGTCAATACTTCTCGGCTGGATCGGATGATCCATTCTATAATGACGTCATTTCTAGTGATAAAGGGCTTACCCCTCTATCCTTAGCCAACGAGCAATGTCAGGACCCAGCAGTGCTTAGCATTTCCGACCGGGAGACCATATGGAAGGAGAAGGAGCTCCACGGGAGGTACTACAAGGCTCTACATGAGCCCTTCGTAGATACAGTCGCCTCCCTCAACTGGCTACGTTTCGGTGACCTCTTCGGGGAAACCGAGGGTTTTGTCTGTGCAATACAGGATCAGGTTATTAAGACCAACAACTATCGGAGATATCTAAGGAGTGAGTTGTGTTGGATTAGGCATGTCATCTCCGGTGTTCGTTACTCGTCTGTATTTCTTTCTTTCGGGGGGGGTTTTGTTGTGCAATACAGGATCATTATGACCAACACTATGGAGATACATCTAAAGGATGGATGTGTCGAGCTTGTTGCGGGATGGTGTTTCCGGTTGTTCGGCGCTTTCTAACTCTGAGTACTTGCACAGGTACAACCTAGTAGCCAGAATTCTACACCGGGTGCTCGCTCTGAAATACGGTCTCGTGGACCGGAAAGTGCCGTATTACAAGTACTTGCCGGAAGCCGTGCTCGAAAATGACCGCGCCAGGCTCTACTGGGACCGGGCCATCATCACAGACAGGACTATTCTTGCGAATAAGCCTGATATTGTGCTGATGGACCGGGCACAGTCAAGGATATTTTTGGTCGACATTACCATTCCGTATGACGAGAACCTCGTGAAAGCCGAAACAGATAAGCCAAACAAAATATCTGACCTGGCTCACGAGGTAACCGACATGTGGGGTGGTCGGCCGACCGAAATTATTCCTGTAGTCGTCTCTGCGAATGGGCTAATCCCAGTCAGCCTCTCGGGTTATCTGAGGCGACTGGGACTCCATGACGGACCGCTCCGGGCTCGAGTGCAGAAGGCAGTGGTCCTTGATACCGCCCGCATCGTCCGTCGGTTTCTTTCCCTTTCCTCCTAACCCTCGGCCGTTTGGTCTCCTCTGCCGAGGACTTCCATCTGGTTGAATCTTTATTTATTTGTGTATTTTTTGCATTTATTTTATTTTATTGATATTTATGTATATTTATCTTTTCATTTTAATTTATAATTATATATTTATAGAAACCAACCAGATGAGAAAACTATACAGATACCCCTAATATTTAAAAAATATTAATCATAACAATTAGTCACAGGTTTGTTATCGGGCGGCGCGGTCACTCGCTACTTTGGTGGGGAGTGGCTGTGTCGGCGTGTATAAATAGCAGCTGTTTCGGCTTGCCGCTCATTGCGCCCTCCTTTATGCCAAGGTTGGTCGCGTGTGTATACGGCTTAGAGATCTCTCGTCAGTTCGGTAAGCCAATCCATAAAGGCGGTGTTTAATGGGTAAAAGTCTCCACATAACCACGCAGCCGGCTGCGTTTTATGCTATGAGCATTCACCGCCTCCCTCCCCCGCTTTCCGGAGGATTGCCCATATTTGCTTCGGGCGCAAAAAAAAACTCGCCGCTCACTTAGCGGTCAGTCGCCTTAGAGTCTAGATTACCTGAGAATGCCTCGTGTAGAGGCGAAACACGTGTCGTATTGTCGTCGATGGTGTGTTTTACCTGGAATAGTGGTGTAAGAAGTAGTGGTGCCGGGAGTAGTGGTGTTGGGTCTAGTGGAGACGGAGTTAGTGCATTCAATTGAGGGAAGGCGGGAGGTGCTCTTCAATCCAGGTAAGACACATCATTGTAATTGGTTAACGGAAGGTTGCAAAGTAATAAATTATTTATTATAATGGATTTTCGCAAAGTAACGCCTGATTCTATCAATTATTATAAGAAACATTATTTTTAATACAACGGCGCTCCACCCTACTGTACACATTCCCTGGTAAACCCCTTCCGCGAAAAGTTTCTTTTGTCCACATTTCAAAACACCTTGCTTAACGTCGATCTCACAACAATTCTTCCGCATAAAGTCTAGGCCCAGTCATGCAGTCGTCTATTTTATCAGGCACGATGACTTTATGCAGGTAGATCATGTTGCCTAGCTTCAACTCCATCTCCTTCTCTCTACGGACGAGCGCTGACCGGTGGCTGTCACCAAATTAATGCGTTCTCGGTTGTATGCGGAGTCCCCAAGGAACTAACTTATACGTTGGGTACTGACAACGGTGCGAGAGGCTTCAGTGTCTATGGTCGGTTTACACGGCGTTGCGTCGACCTCGCCCTTGATGGTTAGGCTGTTCCCATCATGGGCTTGTGAGATCGAAATTATTGGGGCTCTTTTAACATCAGCCAGCATCCGCCCCGCAGTCCTTTTACTCTTTCCCTGCTGCTGCTGGGTGGTACTGTTAGCCACAATACCCTCTCGAGATCGATCATCTTCGCTTTCTACAATTCGCTTAGGGCAGCTGGATCGAAAATGGCCCTTTTCCCCATAGCTGTAGCACCTAGGACTGTATCCTTTATTGCGGTCGCGAACTGTAGCTGCTGCAACCCCACTGACGCGATGGGAACAATGATCCTGCCACACGGCTTCTACCTCCAGTGCATGGGCCAAAGCGTCCTTAAGCATCTCTTGGTGCCCGAGCCTCACAGCAGCTCTGACTTCAAGGCCGCGGATGGAAAGGGTTCGATGAATGTCTGCACCAGGTTCTCTTCAATAAGCGCAGGTACAGACTGGTATGCTTTTCGAACCAGCTTCTTCACCTCTAGGACCCACTGCTGCAGGTTGTCGTTGCTGCGTTGCGCGCGATCTTTGAGCTGCGCACGAAAGACGTGTTCCAGGTGAGCGTCGCCATATCTCGCCTCCAATGCCTCAAGAAGCAGCTCGTAACTCACTTCGTTACCGAGAGCTTCCAGAACAGTTAAGGCCTGGTTGCGCAGGCCTAGTGTGAGAGCAGTCATGGCTTTTTATTCCAGCCGTTCGCCTTCATGACAGCCTCGAACTGGAATTTGTAGGTCGACCAGGAAGAAGTACCGTCGAACGGCGGCACTTTGAATCCACGTAGCGAACAAAGACACAGGAGCACTAATCTGCTGTGTGTGTGGCAGGTGCTGGTGGTGACGGCAGCGAGGGGCGGGCGCGATGGTGGGCGGGGTGGAGCGCGGAGTGCGGCGCGCGACTGCAGGAGCTGTTCTGGTGGGCGGGCGCGCCGGCGCCGGGCGCGCGAGCGCTGCAGCCAGCCCTGCTGCGCGCGTTGTACGCCGCGTCGCGAGCTGCACTGGCACACCTCGCGCCGCGTGACCCCGCCGCCATGCGCAAGGTGAGTGCATGCACACATACGCACGCACGCTGCAGCCCGCCCTGCTACGCGCGCTGTACACTGCGACGCCCGCTGCACTGGCGCATCTCGCGCCGCGTGACCCCGTCGCCATGTGCAAGGTGAGTGTATGCACACATACACACGCACGCACGCTGCAGAACGCCCTGCTGCACGCGCTTTACGCCGCGCTGCGCGCCGCTTTGGCGCGCCTCACGCCAAGCGACCCCGCGGCCATGCGCAAAGTGAGTGCACGCACACATATAAACACGGACGCATGTACACACGCACTTACGCTGCAGCCCGCCCTGCTGCGCGCGCTGTTTGCCGCGCCGCGCGCTGTACTGATGCACCTCGCGCCGCGCGACCCCGCTACCACGAACACACGCACGCACACATATACACACGCACATACGCACACATAATGCTACCCGCACTTTAGCGCACACATTATATGTGTATGTACGTACTCACGTCCTCACGCATACATACCCAAACAATCCTTCAGTCATTTACCAAAAACGTACATATTTCATAATTACTTATTATAGCACATAATACAGGATGGGCCAAAAAGACGTACGATTTTTTAACAACTATTACGTTGGATCGGTTTGCGGTAGCGGGATGCGGGAGGTGGGAATAAGTAGCTCGGTTTGCGGAAGTTTAGTTGCCATGGAGTGCTTCACTGATGCACAACGTGCGTTCTGTGTAAAAAATTATTACAAAAATAACGATTCGTGCACTGTTGTTCGACGTTTATACCGTTCTAAGTACGGATTACACGAATTAAACCGTGTCCCAGTGAAAGTGTGATTAGGTCTTGAGTCGGGTCAGAAAGTTCGAGTCTACTGGGTCAACTCTCAATCAGAAACCTTCGGGACGCCCAAGGTCAACAAGAACGGAAGAATTAACTAACGAAGTTAAAAATTCCGTGCAACGTAATCCCGGTCTATCAACTCGTTAGCGTTCAGCTGAGCTTGCTGTATCCAGAACAACTTTGCGATGCATTTTAACAAAAAATCTTAAGTTTCACCTATATAAGATTCAATTAGTGCAGGATTTGCGCCGTGTTTTTTGCGAAACAATGTTGGAGCGTTTTAGGAGTTTCAACAATATTCTTTTTTCCGATGAAGCCCATTTTCATTTGAATGGTCACGTCAATAAACAGAATTGCCGTTACTGGGCTGCAGTAAATCCACGTTCCAAACATCAAAAGCCCCTGCATTCGCCAAAAGTTACGGTTTGGGCAGCCATTTCTGCACGTGGGATCATAGGTCCATATTTCTTTGAAAATCAGCGGGGGCAATCTGTGACAGTAAATTCGGACCGATACACAGCCATGTTAAGAGATTTTTTCTTTTCGCAACTGCACGAATTCAAAGGATATAACCGTACAACATGGTTTCAACAAGATGGTGCGACATGCCATGCATCTGATGCTTCGATAGCAGTCTTAAAGGAGAGGTTTAGAGGAAAACTAATATCGCGCCGAGGTGATATTGCGTGGCCGCCCAGAAGCCCGGATTTGACACCACCAGACTTTTTTTGTGGGGATACATGAAAAGTACAATTTACCACAATAATTCAACCACGATTGCCCAGTTGAAGACCAATATCGAGGAAGAAACGGCGGCCAAATTCCAAGAGCAATGTGCCAGCGAGTTTTCGATAATCTCAGATACAGATTGGAGGAGTGTTTGCAGCGCAATGGTGCACATCTTGGGGATGTCATTTTCAAAAAATAACTTTCCCATGTACCTATTTTTATTACAATAAAGATTTGTTTGAATAATATTTGCCCTTTTTTTTAATGATTTTTTCAAATCCACCAAACTTTCTGGCCCATCCTGTATTTACTATTATTTATAAGATTTGTATCGATGTTAATGTTCGAGTATTGGATGAATGTTTAATAATAATTTTGATGAAATGAGAATGATTAGAGTCGGTCCGTGGGGTCCGCAGCTGGCGGTGTACCTGCTGTCGATGCTGCAACAGGTGCATGCGGCGAGTGAGGGCGGCGCGCCGGCAGTTGAGCTGGCCATCACGGACTGGGCGCGCGGCTGGGCCGTAGCCACGCAGGCCGAGCTGGCCGAGCGCCTGCCCAGCGCCGCACTGCCGCACGAGGCCGAACGCTTCCTGCGGGAGGACGAGGAGCGCTGGCGTCGCCCTGCAGTAGCACACCGCCAGCGCACTGCCATAGCCAAGTGAGCACTGCCACACTCGGTGGACTCCGTTATGCAGAAGTTATCCAACCAATTAGCCGGACCCAAAATAAACGTGCAGTTCACACGTTAGAAGTGAATTTTTTTTTTAAATTTACTCCGAGAAAATGAAACGAATGCAGAGTATCAGGAATTTCTTGATATAATAATTTGATACAATATAATTAATTTGATTCATATAATAAATAATATTATGTAGCTTTTTTAATGTTTCTTCTAACAATTAACAGTAATATTAACTATGTACGGGCCACCATTTGCGACTCGTACAATTTCTTCGATAGTTAAGTTAGTATATGACAGATAGTACATCAGTATGAGTGGCGTTTAAAATAAGCAGACGTGTTGTTACTTTACTAGTTTATTACACACGCTGAGTTTAATTAGAAAATGGTGTATTATAAGTAATTCGCGGCGTGATGGTTCGACCCGTGTCATGCCGGATGCTATGAATCAGTGCACAAGGAAGAGACCGAAATAATACGAAACACTGTTTACTGTATTCTGTCTCATTCTTTCACAGGCGTATTCCTATAGACGTGTACGTTTGTCTCTTTATAGTGTCACTTTTGCGTTTCATCGAGTTTCAAATCACAACAATTCTAAAGATGTTTTCACTTTGTATTGCATTGTAAATAAGTGAACCTAAGTGGGAACCTTGTGGTACTCCAGATTTTATAGTTATTAAGTCTGATCTGCACCTACCCTGCAATTGTGGCTTTTCTTTTCTTAAATATATATGATTTTATCCAACGTTGTAAATCTCGTGGATAAATCTAAACCTGTAATTTGTGCAACAGAATAACGTGGTCCACTTTTTCAAAGGCCTTTTCGAAATCAGTTAGATCAAATCCACCTGTGCACCTGTTAAATATATCATTGGTAAAGGTAACGATTGCTCATAAATCCATGTTGTGTATTGGAAACTGCTCGAGCTACAACTGGATATAAACATATAAAATTTTCTCCAATAATTTTCTTAATGTATTTAAGATAGAAATCAGACGATGATAATTTTATTTATTTATTTTAGTTTAAACCTTTTTGCGTCCGCTTAGGAAAAAAAGGATACAAAGTATTTTTGTTGATTTTTAAGTATAAAAAACTCTTAAAAATAACAAATTATCTCATAATCTATAGTGTTTTAAATGATATACAATATAACGTGATATAGTAGAGCTTCTTACAATCTGTCAAATCTGGATAATTTTATATTATTCTGGATTGAAACATTTTTGTATAACGCCGTTTAATCATCCATTAAGTAATTAATATTGAATGTAATACATCTAAATAAGTAGTTAATATTGCAGTATGTCATATAACACACAGGAGAACAGTTACTACAATTGTTTTAAATGTGAAATACTTCGATTATTCGTAAAAAAAAACCAAATGAACATCTCTTGCAAATGTGTTCACTATTCACTCTATATTTACTGTCGGCAGGTTTGCTTAGTAAATCGGTATTACAATGGAGGAGTGTGGTTATGCAGGGCGGTGTTCGGGCGGGAGACGTTGGCGTTACGCGCGACGGAGACAGCCATGGCGGTGACGCGACGAGTAGTGGAGGCGCAGAACGCCGAGCGCAAAGCGTTCCTCGAGCACTTGCGCACCGCACAAGCGCACCACGCGGCCGCCGCGCAGCGCTGGCAGCTGCTCGTCGACACGTACGCACACGAGCGCGGTCAGTACGCGCGCACGCACGTACACGCACATTCATACGTACACAACACAATTTAAATTTTGTAAAAATTTAAATGCATTCATTTTATATCGTATATAATTTAAAGAAGTTAAGGTGATATGGGCGCCAAAAGCAGATTTTTCACGCTTTAAAAGTGCAATTTTTTGTCATTAAGAACTACGAATTCACATTTTTTTTAATTCATTATGAAAGTTAAAGATGTTTCTTAGTGAATTATGGTGGCCAAAACACGATTGACACATTTTGGCTCGATAGAAAAAGATCGCAAAGTTTGCTCAAAATATTCAATTTTAGGTACTTCCACTAAATGAAAAAGTAGTTTCATTCGAATGTAATGAAATCAAATTCAATTTAATTCGGGCTTTGTGTTCAATAGTAAATACGTGAGGATATGGGTTTATTTTTCAATAAAAGAGTATATATCATTTTAAAAAGAAATATCAAATAAATATTGTGCGATTAAATAGCGCGCGGGCCGACCAAACAGTCCCGCCAGTCGTCCACAGCGTGGCGTAGAGAGGACCCGTGTACAACTTTATCACGTCCGCTGTCGTCGTTTAAACGTAACCATATATTAAAAAATATTGATTACCGTGGTATGCCATTGAGAGGTAATGAAAAATTAGGCATCCAAACCGGTTTGAATACCTTCCTTAGTCCTAGTAATAAACATGTAAATATAGGTAAACGAACTGATGCCATCAAAATCACAATAAAGATCCTTCTGTTTTAAGTTATTACGTAATTAGCTAACCTAACAACATTTTATAGTGACCATATTAATGTAAAAAAATTTATAGGTTTTAAATATATAGATTGACTTGTGATATATTTTTTAGATTTTAGACTATAGATTGACAGTGTATGACCTACAAATAATTGTTTCGTGTCTGGATGTTAGTCCTCGTGCAATTTATGTTTGTAAGCTGCCTCCGCGATACAGGAGAAAATCCTAACGTTATAAAAAATACTGGTAAAAAACATTTGAGTGTGCCTAGGCTGCCCAGTTTATTTTTATGTTGAAAAGTACTTCATCATTATTTTATTTTGAAATCAAATATCGATATTTTCTATTTATATATATATATATATATATATATATATATATATATATATATATATATATATATATATATATATATATATATATATATTCATTCATCATCATTACAGCCCTTCACAAGTCCACTGCTGAACATAGGCCTCCCCCAAGTAATGCCACAAAGCACGGTCCTGAGCCACCTGCATCCATCGACTTCCTGCATGTCTTACCAGGTCGTCACTCCATCTAGTGGGGGGTCGCCCTACACTACGCCTACCGGTACGAGGCTGCCACTCGAGAACCTTACTTCCCCATCGGTTATCGGTTCTTCGAGCTATATGGCCGGCCCATTGCCACTTCAGCTTACTAATCCGTTGGGCTATGTCGATCACTCTGGTTTTACTGCGGATATCCTCATTTCTGAGTCTATCACGCAGAGAAACTCCAAGCATAGCCCTCTCCATAGCTCGCTGAGCGACCTTAAGCGTCCTCATTCGGCCAGCAGTGAAGGACCACGTCTCAGATCCGTAAGTCATCACTGGCAACACGCACTGGTTGTACAATCTAGTTTTTAGAGATTGAGGTATACCTGACGAAAAGATATGCCGTAATTTCCCGAACGCTGCCCAGCCGAGTTGAATCCGTCGATTGACCTCTCGGTCGAAGTTGGACTTACCTAGTCGGACTATTTGTCCCAGGTAAACGTATTCGTCAACAACTTCGAGCATAGTGCTCCCAACAACTACCGGCATAGGTGTGACATGGACATTGAACATGATCTTTGTTTTGTCCATGTTCATCTTAAGACCTATCCGTTGGGAGGCACTATTGAGGTCATTGAGCATAGTGCTTAAGTCCTCCAGCGATTCTGCCATAAGGACTATATCGTCGGCAAATCGAAGGTGAGTGATGTACTCGCCATTGATGTCAATACCGTATCCTTTCCAGTCCAGTAGCTTGAAAACGTCTTCCAATGCAGCGGTGAAGAGTTTCGGGGATATAACGTCACCCTGTCTTACACCTCTCTGCAGTTGGATAGGTTTCGAGGTCTGGTTCTGTACTCGGATAGCCATCGTAGCCCTACTGTACAAACACTTCAGCACTTCGATATACCGACAGTCAACTTGGCACCGCTGAAGGGACTGTAGCACCGCCCAAATTTCGACGGAATCAAAGGCTTTCTCATAGTCCACATACGCCAGGCAAAGTGGCAGATTGTACTCTTCAGTCTTCTGTACAATCTGCCGCAGGGTATGTATGTGGTCTATGGTACTGAAGCCTTTTCGGAAACCGGCTTGTTCGGGAGGCTGGAAGTCGTCAAGTCTGCGTGCGAGACGATTCGTAATGACTCTCGAAAACAGCACGTAGACGCGGCTCAGAAGGGAAATCGGTCTGTAGTTCTTTAAGAGAGCGTTGTCGCCTTTCTTAAAGAACAAGACCACCGCACTTCTGCTCCACGCCTCTGGAGTAGTGCCACCATGGAGGACGGAATTGAAGAGCTTCTGAAGGACTTCAAGTACCGGTGTTCCACCCGCTTTCAGAAGCTCCGCTGTAATTCCATCCTCGCCTGGGGCCCTGCCGTTTTTAAGGTGCTGGAGAGCCATTCTAATCTCGCTTAGACTGACGTCCGGGATATCATCGGAATAGTGTCGGATAAGACTTGCTCTTGGATCGTTACTCACACTTGCGTGTGGCTCCAACGATGATGTGTACAGCTGCCCATAGAACCTCTCAATCTCACTCAAAATCTCAGGTGTCCCGGAAACGATGTTGCCACACTCAGTCTTCAGCCTTGACAGTTGGCTCTTTCTGGCAGACAGATCTCTGGCAAAGACTTTGGAGCCCTGGTTCCGCTCGATCGCTTCTTTAATACGAGAAGTATTAAAGTTGCGTAAGTCTCGCCGTATGCATTTGGAGATCTGTCTGTTCAGTTGCCTGTATGCTGTCAAATCTGTTGACGATTGCAGCCTCATCTCCCGTCTAACAGCCATGAGATTAAGAGTGTGATCGGAGAGTTTTTGTGTTCTTCTGCGGTGGGTCTTACAGAACTTAGCTCCGACCGCATGGACAGTTTCCACGAGCTTGTCGTTCATATCGTCCACAGCATTGCAATCTTCTAGGCACTGGAAGCGGTTACGTAACTCGAGCTGAAAGGTTTCGGGATTCTGGATTAGAGCACGAGGGGGACGGAGCGTTGACTTCATTAGACGAGACCTCTCCAACTTAACGTTTAGGTTCAGTGTGCCTCTAACCATTCGGTGATCGCTGCCAGTTTTCACCCTTGCGATCACTGAGACATCACTGAACAGTTGGCGTCTGGTCGTCATAATGAAGTCAATCTCATTTTTTGTCGAACCGTCGGGGCTCGACCAGGTCCACTTCCTGTGGGGCCGCTTCTGGAAGAAAGAGTTCATCATAAAGAGTCCCTCTTTCTCCATAAAGTCGGCCAGCTGCTGGCCCCTTCGGTTCCGTTGCCCTACTCCAAATTTCCCTACCTTCAGCTCACCGCTTTCTCTTGTGCCCAGTTTTGCGTTGAAGTCTCCCATCAACACCGTGTAGTAGGTTTTGGAGGAATGTATGGCTCTGGAAATATCCTCATACATTTCCTCCACCTCCTCATCGGGATGTGCCGAGGTTGGTGCGTAAACCTGAATGACCTTCAGCGAATACCGTTTGGTGATTCTGAGTATCAGGTACGCGACCCTCGTCGACACACTCCCAATCTTTACAACGTTGTTGACGAGAGATTTGTGGACGATAAATCCGACACCTCCTTGGGACAGATGGTCGCCCTCCCGGTGATAGAACAAGTTGCCGGACTCGAGGATTGTCGTGTCCTCCCCCCTCTCTTCGGACCTCGGATAATCCAATAATATGCCAGCGCAACTTGTCTACCTCTTCTTCCAGCTCCAGTATCTTCTCGTCAGTCCTCAGGGTGCGTGCGTTATATGTTGCCAGGTCGAGTCGTCGTAGGTGGCAACCGAACCTCCACCGGAGATTCTTAGCACCCCCTGCCCCGCCGTTACCATGGTCGCCACCGTAGCCAGGAATAGCGGGGCCGCCGGGGACTGGGGGCCGTCTATTTGTGTATTTATTCATTGGGGGGTATTTGCCATAGTTGCCACGCTTGGCGAGCGGGTTGGCAACCGCAGTTTTTTATTACGTCACAGTTGTCATCAGGAAGATGCTGCTGCCCATCTCCTGCCTGTCTCCCTCTGTCGCCTCTTACGACACCCACGGGAAGATATGGGGTAGTGGATATTCTTAACCGCCACTACACGGCATATATATGTATATGTATATGTATATATATATATATATATATATATATATATATATAATTAAAAATTTTGAATTAATCGACAAAACATTGAGCAACAATTTCTCGTGCTACATAATAAAAACATTACGATATATCGATATTGATCACGTGAATATATCGATACTGCTTAAAAACATCGATATGATATATATCGATATAGTTTTCACTTGCCCATCCTAACTTGTCGCTATTGCGACATAAGTAGATAAACGGAATATTGCTAGCAGCTCAGACACTCGCACGCGGACGTAAGGTGCATTTTGATTTAATAAGCGCGCTGCATAATTGTTTTTGACGATTTAATCGGTAGGCTAATTTCCCGGAGGTCGTTGTAACTAGGTTTAAACTCGTAAGTTTGCTATCAGAGAGTGATCTTTCTGTTCTTGAACTGTTATTTATTCTGTGCTTTCAATAAGTATTATGCAATAATCTTTATTGAATAAATCATGTATTTGATTTTATTATTGATGCTGTTGGAGTTCCAAATAAAAATAAATAAAAATGAGACTAGTATTCCATTCATTTATAAATTTCATTCATTCCTTACAGTCCAACACAAATTCAACGCTGAATATAGACCACCCCCATAGATTCCCTCATAGGGAGATATTTTCAATAGTTACCAGGCTTGATAAGCTGGTTGGCAACCGCAGCTTTTTATTGTTGTTGAATTGTTATCCACAACATCGTGCTGCTCGCAGGCGTGTGGCACAGCCCGCGTGGCTGGCCGGCCGCGTGGCAGCTGGACAGTACGGAGGGGCCGGGGCGCGTGCGCGTGCGCCTGCGCCGCGCGCACCTGCGCCTGCCCGCGCGCTTCCTGCAGCCGCACGCGAGGTATAAGGCAGGTCAGTGGCAGCTCGGTGGTAGCTCAGTGCCCCCGCGCGCGCGCAGCCGCGCGCGCGCTGCACGTCGCGCACCTCGGTGGTAGCTCAGTGGCAGCTGGACAGCACGGAGGGGCCGGGCCGCGTCTGCGTGCGCCTGCGCCGCGCGCACCTGGGCCTGCCCGCGCGCTTCCTGCAGCCGCACGCGAGGTATAAGGCAGGTCAGTGGCAGCTCGGTGGTAGCTCAGTGGCAGCTGGACAGCACGGAGGGGCCGGGCCGCGTGTGCGTGCGCCTGCGCCTGCCCGCGCTCTTCCTTCAGCCGCACGCGAGGTATAAGGGAGGTCAGTGGCAGCTCGGTGGTAGCTCAGTGGCAGCTGAACAGCACGGAGGGGCCGTGCCGCGTCCGCGTGCGCCTGCGCCGCGTGAAACTGCGTCTGCCCGCGTGCTTTCTGCAGCCGCACACGAGGCACAAGACAGGTCAGTGGCAGCTCAAAAAGGTGACCTCTCAGATCTATCCAATTATCGTCTGATCGCCATCACCTTGTTGGTCACACTGCCAGCTCATGAGGTATCTTGAGGATCTTCAGCTGGTTAGTGACTGTCAGTGCGGTTTCCGTCGGGGTCTTTTAGCTGGTGATGGCTTACCTGACTCATAGATGGGCGGAGGAAATAGAGTCCAAGGGGGAGGCTCTGGCCGTTAGTTTGGACATCGCGAATAGCCGACAGTGCACCTGGAATTCCCCTGATGTTGCAGTTGTTATAGACGGCGGTCGACACTTACTATCAAGCTTACTTGAAGGTAGGGGATTACTTGATGAGGCTTACCGCATGCTCGTTTGTACCATCTTCTACAAAAAATATCTTTGAATGATCGCATCTCTCACCACTCTTTACTATTAATGCTGTAAAAAATGCATGGAAAACGATACATATTGTTTTTTATAGACAGTAGCATAATTCTTAGTTGTTTGTTTTTCTGCCCAGCCTGGAAAGATACTTTACAACTATAGTGTGTGTAAGTTATAGAGAAGATATCCATGAAGGGTGCGTCCATGTGTGTGCAGAGGCGGCGCTGCAACCGGGCCCCCTGCGTGGCGTGCTGGGGGGAGTGCTGGGGAGTGGGAAGGGCTGCGCGCGGGGCGGGTGGTGGGGTGGCGGGCTGGCGGCGCGCCTGGCGCCCGGGGAGAGCGTGTCCTTCATGGCGCGAGTCGTGCACGTCACCGTGGCCAGCGAGACGCCCGGCGAGCTGCTGCTCAGCGACCGGTGAGCATACCGCAGCCTATGCTGGTCTGTAATTCCGAGCGCAGGATGGTTTCTGCTTTGTGAATTTAGCACAAAATTTCATAATTTGGTGTATTTCAGGCTGCAGTAGTTACGTTGTACCAGTTCTGGCACACTGAGTCAGAAGTGATAGAACGTTCGTCGACTCACGATCCTAAAAAAAAAAGGTTTTGGCATGCTCTGATCACGAATCTGCGGTCCGTTTTTGCGTAGGATGTACGGTTCCGGAGATGTGCAGATCAATTAACCAATATCTAATTGATATCCGGTGAGGGCCTCCACCGTCATTAGTGTCCCATTGTTCTTATCTATTGTCATTGTCTATTCTTCCTCGGCGTGTGCGTCGGCTTATCAGTGCTATTGTATTATACGTCTTTGTTCCTAATTACAACGCTAATCTGAATCATCAATAAAACACATTGCCTAATTTTGTTACAATTTTTATTTACAAAATACAAAATCTTATTACTTATTATCTGTAACATAGGAGCGAAACATCTCATTCACTAAAATATCGTTGTACAATGTGTTCCCTGTAAATATACTCGTAAAACTATGCACTGAACATCCCTGAAACTTATGTAGCAAATACATTAAGCAATATTCGCCACAAACTGAAGTCCACTCATTCTGAATCCTATCAACATTCCAGTTGCATCTTTTACAATTCCTTTTTAAAAACTCTAGATGATATCGTACAGGTGATCGTCCATATGAATCAAAATATTGACCGACGTCATTCGTATCGATATATAAAGCTATCCAATGTGACTCTGGTTTATCATCTGTATCCAAATTGCATATTATATACGTTGGTACGTGGGTATACATGGGCAGTCTGTTAGCAGCATAAACATTATTTTCTAGACTGTGGTGAATCTTTTTCAGATGTTGTTATACGTCTAGTGCAGTGATTCTCAAAGTGGTCTATATCGACCCCTAGGGGTCTATGATAACCTGCAAGGGCTCTACGTCAGCGAAAAAAAATTTGAGGGTCCATGAAATGAAAATGGGGGTCCACGATAGTGGATCTCAACACATACACTGATAGTACCTATTTACTTACATCATACTATCTTATAATATCAAAACATATACATTATTTATAAAAGTACCTATGAAATAAAAAAATTATTATATATGTTTATAAAATTGTGTAAGTTGTAGGATGTTATTATTAGCTTTGTGGTCGCAATACATTTTGAACTTGTAAAAACCTGACAGTCGCAGTCTCAGAGCTTCGCTACCTTGCACTGACTTGTTCAATTCGTCACTCTATAAATACGAATGTTCTAATTCTAAGGACTAATTCGTTTATTCGTTTTCTGAATCTTGAAAAGGAAAGTGCTAAGAAAATATTTTAAAAAATATAAACAGATAGGATATCATACAAATTATAGTGAGTCAGTGTTATTTTGTTTGAGAGTGCTGGAGAAAAGTAAGTACATTATTTTTTATTAAATTTTAGTTTTGTACTCGTAGTTAGCAAAGATAGATAAATTACGCCAATCATGACTTTAGTTATTAGTAGTTTAATATTCAATCATGCAAAATCACACGGGGACTCCTCAATAGTTTCTTTTTAAAAGTTTTAGTAGTTTTTTTGAAATTTGGCTTCATTCCATAATTGCCGGACAAACAATCGCCTATGTGCCTTTTATGCAACAAAGTTTTGGGCAATGACGCTATGAAACCATCTAAACTGCAAGATAATCTGAGAAGATGCCACCCTGATAAAACAGAGAAAGATTTGAAATACTTTCAAACACTCAAAGATAAACTTCAGAAGAGACCTACACTGGACAGAATATTCGCTTCAACGTCACAAAGAAATGATGATGGTTTGCGGGCGTCTTACAATATCTCGTTACTTATAGCAAAATCCGGAAAACCGAATACTATTGGAGAGAAGTTAATTTTGCCAGCCGTTGAAGAGGTTTTAAAAACTGTTTTACACAAACCTGCATCTGATATCATTAAAAGAATTCCCTTAAGCAACAATACTGTTGAAAGACGTATTGGTGAAATGAGTTCTAATATTGAAAGCTTCTTATGTAATTATTTGCAAACGACCCATTTCTCTATACAACTGGACGAGTCAACTTTACCTGATAATGCAGCATTATTATTGGCATATGTTCGTTTTATTATGAATCAAGAAATCTACGAAGAACTGCTCTTCGCAAGAACTTTGATAACCGACACTAAAGGGAATCAATATTTCATGTTTTGAAGGATTACTTCATTGAAAAAGCAATTCCTTTATCAAATATAATATCAGTAGCTACAGATGGAGCACCTGCCATGGATGGACGTTATCGTGGATTTATGAGCTATTTAAAACAAAATGTGTCAGGGGTGTTAGCAATACATTGCGTCATCCATCGACAACATTTAGTTGTTAAAAATTTGAGTGTTAGATTGCATGAATCACTTCATTTAGTCATTGATGCAGTAAACCGAATCCGAAGCAACGCGTTGAATACGCGGTTATTTGCGCAGTTGTGTGAAGAAAATGACGAACACTTTCATTAATTACTCCTTCACACTGAAGTACGCTGGCTGTCGAAAGGCTTATGTTTGACAAGATTTTTTGCACTTTTTGAGACTATTTTAGAATTTCTGGATACTAAAGATAAAATTTTAAAAGAAAATTTAATAATTTAATGTTCACAGCTATCGCTCGCGTAACTACTACTCCAGTTTTTGTTTTCGATACTTCCTAATTTACCACGACTGCTTGCTAACTGGATTCTGTTTCGCCTTATAACTGATTTGACTGTGCTTGTGTTTCGGACTTTGATTGATTACCTTGTGATTTGGATTTTTGTGTTGCAAAATGAGTTATTCTTTGAAGGAATATGCAGAAATGCATTATTTTTACGGCGTTTTTCAAGGCAATGGCCATTTAGCGGCAAGGCTTTACCGAGAGAAACTAGAACGGCAAGGGGAAGAACGGGAACTTTATCCCGATCACAGAGTGTTCATAAATACACATAATAAATTTATGGACGGACGAATTCCGGGATGCAGTTCCCACGAAGGAGTACCCAGAGTGGATCCAGATGTCAGAGATGAAGTCGTGGAACAAGTGCAAAGATATCCTTTTACTAGCACCAGAGCTATTACGAGAATGACTGGTGTACCACGAACCTCAGTTATAAGGATACTTAAGTCAGGTAAGTTCATTTTGTCTTTAAAAATTTTACTTTGACACCGTGTTAAAGCGCACCTTTGAATAGCGACGAGCGATCAATTAATTTTAATTACTTATGTCGGGCAAAAACCACATTTCATGGCATAAAAACAGTGATTCCTGAAAGTACAATTTCGTTTTTTTTCAGAGGGATACCACGCTTATCATATTCAACGCGTCCAAAAATTGCATCCTGCAGATTATTCAAGACGGGTGACTTTTTGTCCAACAATGCTGGAAAGAACTGCGGAGGATCCAGGTTTTTTTGATAAAATTCTGTGGACAGACGAGTCTAGATTTGAAAGAACAGGAGTCTTCAATATCCACAATTACCATAGTTGGGCTGTTGAAAACCCACACAAGGCAAGGCCTTCAAATTTTCAAACACATTATAGTGTAAACTTGTGGTCAGGAATTTTGAACGGGGAACTTATAGGACCTTTTGAATTGCCTGCTAGGTTAAACGGAGCCCAATATTTAGACTTTTAACAAAACAATTTAAACGGCTTATTAGGCGACGTAAACTTATTGACAAGAAGGGATATGATTTACCAAAATGATGGCGCTCCTTGCCACTATGCAAGAGAGGTACGGGAGCACCTTAATCAAAGATTCCCCAATAGACGGATTGGGCGTGGCGGACCGATTCATTGGCCTGCACGTTCACCAGATTTGAACCCCATAGATTTCTTTCTCTGGGGATATTACAAAGAGATGGTGTACGCAAGCGAAACAAACACCGAAGCAGAACTGCGAGATAAATTAACGGAGGCGGAAACAAAAATCAGACAAAATTCAAATGCTTTTAGAAGACTGAAACAAAATTTTCTAAGGCGTTGTAGACTGTGTATTGAAGTGGAGGGGGGGTACTTTGAGAATTGGTTGTAAAATAAAATAAGTATTAAAAAACCAAATTGTTTTATTTATTATGAAAGATTATGACATACCATGAAAATCTAATTATCCTTAGTAATAAACAATAGGTGCATAATAAAACGATTATTTTTGAAATTTTTTGGCTCTGTGCAATTAAAGGCCGACTAGGGCTAAAAAAGGCCCATTGACCACCACTTTTTTTGTATTATAACTAAAGCTTAGGGTCTTGCGAAGTTTTTAAAATTACTTTAAAGTCATGGAACTCATTATTTAATTTTTAGTTTAAATTTCAAAATTAAACTTTGATTCAATCATATCTGCATAATTTGTTTTCGATTAAAATTTTTGCAATTTGTATTAATGGTAGGCAGCTTATTTTTTATGTCAAAGAGTCCAACTCATGAAGACTACGCTAAGAATAAAAAAAGTAGAAAAGAGAGCAGAATTTTCAAGAAAAAAAATTTTGAATCGCTAAGTCGACATTTTTCAAAATAATACAAAAAAAATCATATCTCGTAAACTAAGAAAAATCGCGGAACATACATGGGGTATTTTCATGTAGCCCGAAAGGTCAGCATTCCAAAAAAATTTTTTGGACGTCACCTTTTGGACTACCCTGTATAGGGCAAACAAAGATATCAATTAGAACCCACGTAAAAGAACACATAGCTGACGTGAAGCATCAACGTTCCGGGAAGTCTGCAGTTTGCGATCATATTCTAGATGGCCCCAACCATTACATCAGATTTGATAGACCACAAATCCTCGCGAAAGAACATCGATTCCTACCAAGGATGATACGTGAGGCTATTGAAATTAAAAAAACATCCTAATTTCAATAGAGAAGGAGGCTGGGTACTACCACCTGCTTGGGATCCTATAATTAATAAAATTAAAACTAAACCCAAGC